AAACACTCGCTGGGATCCTTCATAATTCAACACTTGCTAAATAACGTGTGTTATACTACATTACTTTCTGACCTTTCAAAATGCATAAAAATGTCTGCAATTGTGGAAACTTTACATGTTTTTATTTCAAAAAAATTTTCAGAATTATTTTGAACATGTATCACAAAATGATCATTTCAAGCATTACACAATAACTGCGTCACCTGAGTTCAACACAGAGAAATGAAGTTTTATACCCTAATACTTCTTATTATTGGTGTATTACAATATACACAGTACTGTTTAATCTTGTAAAACTTCAGAGACTTTCAAACTACATTTTTACTAATTTGCCTTAAAAAAAAAAGTATCAGGGTTAACGTATGGTACAAAACGTGATGCTGATGATTTATGTGTCCGATTCTCCTGCGAAGTTGGGGTTGGTGAAAGCCGGCTGCAACACAGAAATGACACAACTTAGCATTTACATTCACAGCAGCTTAAGCACGTCTCCTCACCAAACCGCAGCAGGTTGATTATTCACTTACCACATCAACTTTACTGGTTGTTCTTGTTGGAAAGCTCAAGCTGCTCATTTTATACCCGCGCACACGGAAGAGGTAGAACAGCACTCCAGCTATCAAGCAGCAAAACAAGATGGCTCCAATGATGGCGCCGGCTATCACCCCGCCGTCTGTGCAAAAAGGGACACAGCAGATTTCAGAAGGGCTATTTGACATCATTCAGTCATGTCATCTATTTTAGTCTGACAATCTGCTGTGTACACTGGAAAAGAAAACGTGTGAAGTAATAAATGTAGAAGTGTTCAATGCTGAAATCTCTCTGAGGCTGTACTTAGGCCCAGCAGTGATTTGAGCTAAATGCTAACATGCTTGATATTAACATGCCGATTACAACACTTTCTAATTAACCATAAAGTACCAACGTAAACAAATTTTGTCCTGGTGGTGGCATTAAATCAACAGTTATGCATCACTGAAGCGATAACTAGTAATTGTGACAGATGCGTGAATGTCATCCAGCAGCTGTTGTGACATTTAACTCAAAAGTACTTTGAGTAAGGAAAAGATTGCAAAAGTTTGTATGATTTATCATCTGGGGACCATTAGGATCCCAAAACACTCATTAAAATCCATAGTGATAGATGAGATATGTCAGTCTGGACTAAGGGTGTTAATCACAAACTGGTAAATGAATAATTGCTGTTAATAATAATTGATTTAAATATATGAAGTGATATGGCAGACAGCAATGGACATACAGTGTATCACATTTGCTGGAGTTTCTGATGTAAAACGGAAGTGCATTTATTTTGAAGGGACATCAGCCTGTAGGTCTAAAGGGAACCAAATGTATTCAAACTGTAATTGTCACTTACTGCTACTTGGACCATCAGTGGGGAAAATCGGATTTTTGCCATCATCTGTTGCATAGTCTGAAAGAGAATTTCACAAGGAGAGACATTTAATCCGCTGCTCGTCATTCCAGTCAGAATACACAACATTTTTGTCTACAGGGAATTTTTTAAAACCAAAACTGAAGCTACAGAAATGACCTTGCAGTCATCCACGTTCCATAAAACTATCAAACCACTTATACTTACACTGTCGGTGGCGGCAAACAAAGCCTCTCTTCTGCAGGCAGTTGTTGTCATTCCAGTTGCCGTCGTGGTACATCTCCACACAGTTCTCCTCGGCTACATCCCCAGGATGAAAGGCTGCATTGGGCTCTCCAGGGGCCCAGTTGAGGAAGCCCAGAGACGTCTTGTCTGTCCAGGCCCAGCCAACTGGAAAACAACATACAAGCTTCTAGCATGTAGCTCTTAATCGACCTGTAAGCTTTTGAAAACAGTTCACTTCTGCACGATTCTAAACTCACAGTTGCTGTCCCTGGTGAGGCCGATCCAGATGTTGTGGTTTTTGGTGTAGTTCATGTTCCTGATGAACTCCAACTCTGCTCTGCTGTGAATGGAGGCCAGCTCAGTCCTGACCGACTGGCAGTAATGTCGGGCGTCCGGCCAAGAGAAGCCCTCCGGACCGTTGTACACAGAGTAGCAGTGGTGGCCGTAGGGGACCCAGAATGGCAAACATTTCCCATCACCAGGGGCGGGAGTCGGCGGCGGTTTCGCTGAAAGAAGATATGAAATCAACAGTGGCTCAAAGTTCAAGTGATGGGTCTACAACAAAGGCGAGAGGAAAATAAAAATAAAAAGAGAGGACAAACAACAATCCCTTCAGGTTCGGAGAGTTATACCTGTGGAGATCTTGCAGATGTAGGGTTTAGTTACTTCACACTTGGTGTCGTTCCAGGTCCCGTGGAAATAGAATTGTTCCTGCATGCTCACGCAGCCCTCGTCCTTGATGTTACTGGGCTCTCCTGGTCCCCACTGAGTGAAAAAAACTGGCCAGCCATCTGTCCACTTGTAGGAGCCATCCTCCTGCAATAGAAGACGATGTAAGGTTCGGCATTTTATCATGTTACTGTCAATCATTCTGCAGAGCCACAAAAAAACCATCAGCATCTTGAAGTCAGACTGGGATGACATCTGGAGAGGCAGTCGAATGTTGAGGCAAATTCTTGTTTTGAACATCCATGAGCATGCAAGGATCCCTGAGACTTCAATTTCATAAACGTGCAAAGTCCATAAGGGTCTGTGTGCAGACATCCTTCCATACGGCTTCATGAACCAGGAAAACAAAATATAACAGGAGAGGCTTTATGAGGAGATGTTACCCACTCCCTTTATAATTGATCTTTAAAGGAGTTGTAATGTACGACTTTGGAGGTGCTTTCCAAAACCTTTCAGTGACATTAACTGATAATATTTAGGGTATTATTTCTGAAAGCAGCCTCACTTTTGCACAGCACTGTATATTCTCCAAGTGGCCCTGAAGGTTTTGATTCTTTTTGAGATACTCCTCTTCGATTCCTGCCTCCACCCCGACAAGTTACAGGTAAATATAATTTCACTTGTGAAGCAACAGGATGAGGAACATCTTCTGTATGTTGTTCAAACTGTTATAAAGTGGTAGAAAGTAGCTTTTGAGATAGTTTGCTTGGGTAATCCCCTTTTCTGTTACTTTATGCTGCATTGCAGAGAAGTCTGACAGTTTTCATTCCTCTACAGGTATTTAAAAGCTATTATTGCTTTTCAGATAAAGATTTTGCATAAAAAAGACAATAATTTATTTATTTCACAAGCCTATAGATTTTTTTTTACCCATCTGGAAGTTACATTACATTAACATTACACATTGTTCTTGAGTGAAGTTCTTAATTTGTTTTTTTATCTGCACTGTTAAAGTACATTAAAGTGCATTTACCTCAGTACTTTTACTTATGTAGGATGTTCAGTGCCGAGCTTCTCCATACTTGTACTGGTACTTTTATTTTTCCTGAAGGACTTCCAAGGACTTCATTGTCTGTTTGTCTATACATGTTTGATCAGCACCTGTCGCCTGAGTCCGATCCAGGCGTTGGCTTTTCCCTGCAGCACCACTCCAGCGACGAAGGCCTGGTCGTAGCTCATGTCGATGCTGACCAGGTGTCCTCCCTCCTTCTGGCAGGCCGCCTCGGCATCGTCCCAGGTGGCCGGCGTCTCCACCAGCTTGTAGCAGTTCTCGTACCAGGAGATGTAGCCGGCCGGGCAGGGGTTCTTGGTTGGAGGAGGAGGGTCGACGCTGCTTGCTGATATGAAGGAAAATGGGAAAAAAAACTTTAATGAGGAAGGTCTGTTTGGATTTAATGGGTTTTTTTTTTAGAGAGAATAAGCGCTGGAGTGTTTACTGACATTTCTTCCTGGAGCAGGCGAAGCTGTAATCTTTGTGACAGGCGTCATCGTTCCACTTGCCGCTCACTAGAACGTTGTGAGTCATCGCAACACAGTGTTCCTGTTGAGAAAGATAACAAAACTTAACTCAGTTTCAAGTCGTCCTGTGTGGAGAGTCGTCCTCAAATGTATTCATACCCGTCCATTAAAGAAAAGGCAAAATTCACAATAGTCACTAAAATTACTAGAAACTGAAAAAAAGTAATAATAAATAAAAAATTTGCTAAATTATAATTTAGTGAAATAAGGCATTGCTTTTGAATTGTGGGTGAAAAGAATAATTCAAAAAAACAAAAAAACAAAACTGTCCCAAACAAATTAGAGCACTTTGCTGATGAGCAGTGAACCAAAATCAAAAAACCTGTCAACAGGTGCAGAAGTGTGATTGAGAGTTACGGAAAACACTTGATTGCAGTGATTGGCTCAAAGGGTTGTTCTACAAAATATTAGTTTACGAGTCCCATCATGCTTGTTTGTTTGTTTTAAATATTTCTGTTGAACCACAATTCAAAAGCAATGTCGTGATTTTCATTAATTTTTTTAAAAATTATTACTTTTGTCAATTTCAGCTTATTTCAGTGACACCTGTTTTTTTCCTTCTTTTAATGGGAGGGTACGAATAAATATGACTGTAAGTACAAAGCTTCTCAGTTGTTTCTCACCTGCCTTGCTTCAATTATTATTAGAAATCCTGTAGTGTAAGAGTGTCCTCACCGTTCCTCCTACGTTGTTGGGCTCATGCTCATTCCAGTTGGTGTACTTGACTGGACTGACCCCGTCGCTCCAGGCATACTGATTCTCAGCCAAGAGATCTGACAGGCCGATCCATGTGGGGTGATGCAGGTCCTTCAGGTGACTAGCCACAAAGTCTGGAGGAGAGGAGACGATCAAAATACACATCGTAGGCTCTCTGAACTAATACAGGTTTAACTTAACGGTTATCTGCTGAGCTTACCGTTCTCATACTGGGTATCAATAACTGCCAGGTCGCCTCCTTGCTCTTTGCACCAGCTCCGAGCATAAGACCAGTTGGCCTGAATATCATCTTTTTTCCCTCTGAACATGAAGCACTTACTCCCAAAGCGCAACCAGCCTGCAGGGAGGGAAGGTAAATAGGTTGTGTTACACTTTATGGATGAGTAGACAGTTAGCTGATTGGTGCACACATGTGTGTTTGTGAAATAAATATCATCAAAAAACAGCTTAGAACAACCAGGCCCATTGTTTTGACACCTGGATGGACTTCAGGAGGCAGTATAAATAAAATCCTCTGTCATGCTATGTCAGTTTTTTTGCACCGTGATACCGATATGTGTAATAATACAGTACGTTTCCTAGAAGAATCGGTTGGAAAAAAAAGTTTGAGGACACAATAACCCAAATGTCTTCAATTTAGCTAATCCTATGACTTAAATACCTCATAAACGAAAATATTAGATTACATGCAAAATCAGATAAGATCCAATATTACGATTAAGCAGTCCTGCTTATGAATGTAAAATGTTGCCAAGAAATGTCTAACATGCTCAGCAATAAAAAAGCAACAACCATGATGGCATTCAAGGTGTGATCAAAAAGTTCCAGGCCTGTGTCGATACAAAATTTTAATTTGAATCTCCTAAACTGTTTCAAAGCGGCGACTTCTCTGCCCCACTTTGTGGTCATTGGAGATATCACAAGTGTGGTGGTGACCAAACCGTCATTAATGCATATTCCTCTATGGAATGGTGTCAGTAATCGCACAAGAAAGGCAGGGGTGGAGATATTTTGGGATTTTGACGATAAAAGGAGCACACTAGACCTTCAGACCTTCAAAGTATGTTATTATCTATCTATAATCAGCATGTTCCAATAAAGAAAGACTGCATACGGTTACATTTTAAACTGTTAACATGAATGTAAAGCGTTACCCTCAGGACAGTTGCCCTCCCAGGGCTGTGTGGGTGGAGGAGGAGTGTGGACATCTCCGGGAAGCTTCTTACATACGAAACCTGCTCCGGCCCGACCACAGTTGGCATCGTTCCATCCACCTTAACAAGACAGAATTTATTGCAGACATCAGCATCAGGGAGTCGTTTGGTAAATATGAACAATACATTTATTTGGGTTTAATTGCTTGATTTGGAGTACCGTGATGTCTGTTCATCTGAACACACTGCTCCTCCCCGTTGGCATTGTTGGGTTCACCTGGATTCCACTGAGTGAACGTCACAGGGGAGCCGTCGACCCACCTGAGCAGATACAACAGTGGAATCTTACTATCCACCTCCATGTGATTAAAAAATGTTAAAAAGCCTGGATGAGGATTTACAGTGTGTTATTCACATCCTTTTCGGTGTTATGATAAACTTTACTTAGCTGGAAGTCAGTTATGACAGTTTGATGTTAGTTCATTGATACTGAATTAGTAAGAAGACCTAAGTGTAAGATGTTCAATCCAAATTATTTTATTTGTATTTATTTTTTCTAGCTGTAAATCTAAAAATGTCTTCATATTGTATCTATTGAGCAGCTCCAGGATCCATGTCCAATGGCAGCCTCACCAGTCTGTCAGTCTGTTGCTCAGACTAAGGAAAAGCAACTGAAACTAGATCTGTACAATATTATTAACAAGGTAAATTCGTTAAATTTTCACCTCAATTTCACCTCATCTTATTTCCGATCTCTTCCAAATACTTACATGTATTGTCCATTTGCTATCCCAAACATCATCATTCCAATCCAGGCTGCAGAAACCTTCCCCGTCCCCACCTTTAGGAGCAGCAAACCATCATGTAAACATGCGTCATTGTGTCATTTCTTTCCTTTTAGAGAAGGTAAAGCAAAAAAAGACTCACCATGCTATTAACGTACGCCTGTTCGTTTTTGTCGTGGATGGACGCGAGCAGCGCCTTCTCTGCGTAACAGGCCATCAAAGCCTGGTAGAAGTCGACCACGCTGGTGTCATTGTAGTAGTAGCAGATGTTGTTGTTCTTCCTCCAGCCGGGGTTGGTGCCACAATCCGGAGCTGAAGGTTGAGGTGGAAGAAAAAGGAAACAAGGCTCATTATTTTACAGTAAACTCTCACTCAAAAATGACAGTCTAATCTTTAGTGTTGTACTTCTTTATTCTTGTAGTTTAATCGTAGCAGCTTGAGTTCACTTCTCATCCAAGAGACTTCATCAGTTCTGGATGAGAGGTGAAACGTCTTCGAGAAATTCAAGCAAGTCCAGCTGCTACAATTAAACTATGAGAATAACCATGACCTGGATGACTGAGAATCTATGTGTTACCTGGGATAGGAGGTGGGGGTTCTGGTGGCTGGATGGGGTCCTTTCCTTTAGCGATCTTGCAGATCCAGTCCAGATGAGCGTCACAGTTGAGGTCGTTCCACCAGGACACGGTGCCGTTGGTGCTGCTCACCATCTCCACACACTCCTCGCGGCCTTCGTGGTTGTTCGGCTCCCCGTAGCCCCAGTTGGTGTGAGACAGAGGTGTGCCGTCACTCCAAGAATATCCTGGAACACACCAGAATGCAGTGAGCTTTTCTGTGTATTTGGATGCCGTTTAGATTCCACAGCTTCCTTAACCCTCTGAACTCCAACAGCTTCTGGGCGTTTTGTACTCCTGACACATTTTTACTCACTGAGGGCTCATTTATTTTACTGTCATATGAAGTCCTGCACCTCTATGGAAGCAGCTTTTAGCAAAAGACAGCTAGAAGTAGAGAGAACTCTAAATTGTCTTATAGTGTCATAAATACGGGGGAAAAAAGAAGGGGAAAGCAAAGACATTTTTTCTTGATTAATCCAAAAGAAACTGGAATCAATACGTAAAAGCACTGGAGAAATATGGCGGCTTCAGATGCTGGAGATATTTTAGTTTACTCCAGAAACATAATTCACCATGCGGAATGTGTCTTCTAACAACTTACTGACTTTATACTGTTTTTAAGACATGCTGCATTTTATTCATTGCTCAAGTATGTTTATTTTCTCTCTTAATCCTCATGTTGTGACCCTTCTGTTTGGTGGAAACACAGCCTGCAGTTCACCTGAGAAGTGGCTGTTGGTTGCAGCCAAGTCGTAATGTCTTGTAGTTTTATTATTTTCAAGAGTGTAGTTTTATTTATTGATTTTTTTTAAACAGGATTTTTTTTTGCAGTTATTTTTAAATGAGTAGATTACATGGATTTTGATGAAATACAACAAGTTTAAATTTACTAGTATTGCCTGATTGAACAAGACATCACACATGATTCATTAAAGGAATGTCAGAAAGCCAGAAGTCTGAGGGTTCTTTCTGCTTCCTCTGTTTTAGCTGTGACAAATGGTGCAATTTTTAGCAATTTTCTAAAGAAACGATGCTTCTCAAACTCACCGGTTCACCAGAGGGTTAAAACACATCAAACTCACCTCCTTCAGTCGGGTTGTGCTTGAGGCCGATCCACTTGCTGCTGGCTTTGGTGTACAGACTCAGGAAATCTTCCTCCTCCTGATTGTGGATGCTGACCAGATTGGCTCCTCTGGCGACACAGTCCTCATGTGCTCCTGCCCAGCTCTTCTTCTGGGACCAGTCCACTTTATGGAAGAGCTGAAGTAGATCAGTGCTAGAAGGTTAACCACTGATCTCATGACCACAGTTTTTGAAGTTTAATTCACTGCTGCTCTTACCTTGTAACAGCTCCTGAAGTGGGGCAGCGCCGACCAGCCGTCAGCACAGCCGTGTGAAGGAGGAGGAGTCGGGGCCTTCGTGGGTGGGTGGATATCGGGTCTGGGTGTCTCACAGATGAAGTTGTATTTCTCTGTGCACTGCTTGTCATCCCAGAAAGCACCGGCCGAACCCGACGTCATAGCCACACAAGTGCCATCCCCGCTATCTGGAGACAAAAAGGACATTAGTGTCCTGTGATGTGGACATGTCGTCCTGCTGATGCTGGGGTTAACGTTAGGTCGGCACCTGGCTGGTCTCTGTCCCAGTGACTGAAGGTGAAAGGAGAGCCGTTGTCCCAGATGTAGTCCACCCCTCCGCCGACCCCCCCGCGAGCACGCAGGCCAATCCACCACAAACCGGTCTTTCCTGACATCACCACTGTGAAATGCGCCTGCTCATAGCTGCAGTGATACACAGATGAGAGAGAAGAGTTATCTGCAAAAATCTATTATCGCTCAGTAGTTTATCCAAACTGCTAACATATCAGAATGTCATATTCAAATAACTGAGACACAAAGATGCAGAATATTCCACCATTATTAATTCAACTTCTTATTAATTCCTACATATTCCAGACGTGTAAACAAAAGGAGAATCACTGGGAATTAAAAGTTCCTTCTAGAGATAGAAGAGGACGGAATGACCAAATGATGAGTTACAGGAGACAGCATATTCAGAATGAGCTCTAGCATCGATCTAGATACTAAATGTGGAGGCCAAACTCACATGTCTCCGATGTGCAGCAGGAAGCCTTTCTGCCCTTTACAGAACTCTTGAGCCTCAGACCAGGTCCTGGCCGTCTCTTCCATCCAGTAGCAGCCGTAGCCGTACGCATCCCAGCCCTGACGCACAACCACAACCATCTTGTTACTAAAAATGCATCATCAGTAAGACTCATACTTTGTGTATCTTGAATCTAAACTTGAGAAGAAACCAGAATACGCTACCTGAGGACATCCATAAACAGTGGGTTTCACGGAGGGAGCTGGGTAATGTGCTTTGGGAGCTTTGCACATGTAGGTATTGAGTTCTGTACAGGCGACATCGTTCCATCGGCCGGTCTGGAACAAACATGAAATTAACATTAAAGCAATGATTATAATCTGCAAGTAATGAATAATGCAAGCAGATGCAGTTTGGCTTAAATGATGTCGTAGAATGAACATTTCATCCTGTGAGGTTGTCCGTGTCTCTCACCTCGTACAACATCTCGACACAGTCCTCGTGGAACCCGTCGTGGTTGTTGGGTTCCCCTGGAGCCCAGTAGGTGAAGGTGGTGATGTGTTCATCAGACCACGTGAACATACCAGGGATAAACAGGTCGTTCAGACCCGTCCACACGTCACTGGTGGCTGTAACACAGAACAAACTTGTTTACTTCATGCATGCTTTTGGTAAACACACTGAACATGATAGTTTTTCAAGCTGACAGTTTCAAAATTGAACCAGTTCCTACAAATGCTTCATGTGAGAATGAAAAGGAGTTTAATAGCGCGTTCTCTACATTCACCATTCAGCTTTCTGACTCTCGTTCAGCTTTCTAAATTCATACCCATGTACAAGTAGCTCTCCAGCCACGTCTGCTCCGTCATCGACAGGATGGATACGAGCTCAGCGCCCTCGGCCCTGCAGGCGTCCTGAGCACCGTGCCACGTCTTTTTGTCTTCAAAAGGTTTGTAGCAGAAATCTCCAAACTCATACCAGTCAAGTCCTGAGCACCTCAGCTCTGAGGGAGAGAGGAAGAAAAGGATTCAGTGAATTATCATGCAGAAAAATACAAAAAAATCAACAAACAGAAGTCTTTGTTTTTAAAAACAAGTGCGCCCAAAGGAGAAAGACTGAGGGATTCGAAAGGCGTCTTAACTCACCGCTATCTGCAAAACTGAAGGACACATCGTAGTCTCCAGAATATCTGTAGAAACGAAATGTAATTTTTTTGGTTGGTGACTTCTGGACTGCCATGCTGCACAACTACAACAGGTTCAGTTAGAACAGTGATCCTAATCTTTTATGTCTGATGTTTCCTCCCAGGTCTGTCAGAGGAGAACTGTACCACCCACTATGTTCCAAATTAGTTTGATTTGAAACTACTTTAAGTATTAAAATTCACTCTCATACAAATGAACAGTCATTGTTTAGGTGAATTTGGTAAACTTTGCATTCGTATCACCATTAGGAGGAAGACCCGTTCAGCCATCTATCCATCACATTTAGCTAAATATTGAACTATTTTTCCATTACTTGTAGATATACTTCAATCATTTTTGCTTAAAACCCTAAAACTATTTCCCACTTCTTTTAGCATTAAAATTAATGTAACACCCAACAGTGATCTCACAATGTCCTCGTGTTCCCTTTTATAAAAAGTTTTTGGGCGAAATCTGTTCAGAAAAACATCATATTTCAACTTCAAATATTGCATGATTTCCATCTAATGATGTGTTTTCTCAAAGTCTCATTGTGCCTCTGACATGTTGTCATTCTATAGATGGAACTGGGACAAACATCTAGATGAACTTCAGTGTATTTGTGTGGTAAATTCAACAGCTAATCAAGCCTTTAATCAAGATTTAGCTCCATTTTACACTGTTATTTTCAACTAGCTGTTTGTTAGTGCAGCTAGCCATTTAAAGATTTATTTTGAGATGATTTCTTCTTGTCTATTTCGTTGATTCATGTAGTTTTCATAACTCAGTCAATGTTTTCCTTTTTAGTCAAATTCTAATTTCTGAATTTGAATTCAGTGTCACTAATGTACTGAACTGCATTAATACCACCTGGCGTATCCCTGGTTGGGAATCACTGGGTTATGAAACTCCTCTACTCACTGTCTTGAGGTGATGCCATTCCTCGTGGAACCGGCGTAGAAGTCTTGTCCTTCAGCTTTCAACAGAGTGCAGTCTCCTCCGTTCTCGTTTAGAACCACTCCAGCGTGGATAGCCGCTGCACAGATGTTGGAATCCTGTTCAAGAGAGAAAGAGGGAATATTGTATTTTAAATTACAGAGAGAGAGAAAATCTTTTTGTGAAACAGACATTATGTTTACATACCCCACGATATACTGAGGTGCCGTACACAGTGTAGTCCTCCTTGGCGCAGGCTGCTGGGCAGTGGACACTGAAACACACAGCGCATGATGATGAATGGCAGCATCACGTAAACAACAACAACAACAAAAGTAGGAAACACAAACACAGCAGTACATCACTGGACTGGTTTTACTCACGTCATTTTATCACTGGCAAAGTTGAGGTTGGGTTTGTCTGCACATGTAACTGCATCTGTTGAACCACAGTAGTTTTTATTGACCAACAGTGTTTTTATGATTAAAAAAAACAAACAAACAATCACATCAGATTTTGGAATTTGGAAGTATACTTATTAAACTAGTAAAATGTTTTCTTACAGTCAGGTGAGCATCCTAGGATGTCAAAGCGAAAGCCTGCCTGACTGTTGAACTGCACTGGGAGGATGCGGACGAACTTAGCCGACACCGGAGTGCCCAGCAGATGAGTGTCAGGGGTGTTCCTGTCTATCGAACCTGGGAAAGACTGGAAGCATAGGAAAATACAGAATAGTTGTAATAAATATTAAAGCAAGAGAACCTGTCCGACATCCTTCAAGATGGGTTTTGAAAGTTTTGAACTGTAGGTAACTAAGGTTTGGTCCTTCCTCACCTCGCCGTCGGCTGTGTAGTCAGTCCAGGTTGTTCCATCTGTGCTGTGCTGGATCTTAAACTTGGTGAGCCAGTAGTCACTCTGAGGGCAGCCCTGCATCACGATCCCGGTTACTTTTCTGAGCTGGCCCAGGTCTGTCTGAATCCAGCTTGAGCTCGCTGGAATTAGGAGACATGAGATTTAGAGTATGTCAACGTGAAGGTACCAACATAGAGATGAAGATCTTTGCTGTGCCAAAAAAACCTGAACTCTGTCCTCGCCTTTAACTCTTGATTTAAGTATTATTTTACATGTGAAGCAACTGTGTCGGGACGTACCGCTTCCTGAAGGCATCCAGCAGGAATCTCCATTCAAACGGGCCTTTTCGGGAGTGAACTGACCGACGGAGGAGGATGCGGTGAGCTGGGTGTCTGTGACGTTCCCGTCCTCAACACCCAGGCCGTGCAGACACACTGTGAGCAGCCGAAGCACAAGACACAGCATTAGTCTGAGGTTGGGACTACGACACTTCATTCTGTAAACTTTAGGAAACATTGAGGCCGGATTTGAAAATGATAAAACCAATAAAAGAAGATCCTACCTTTCTGCTCACAGCTGAAGACGATTTCAAGATATTTAGAGACAGTGGGGCAGGGATCGTCGTCCACATGAGCGTATGCAAAGCAGAACTGACGGTTGTCACATGTCTTTCTGTAGTGAGGGAGCAAGCCTGGTACTGTGCACGTTCCTGAGAACACAAAGAATCTTTTAGTCTAACATAGATGTAATTAAAACAACCAACAGCAACAATACAGACAGATGAGGGACTGCAGATAAAGACTTTAAAGGGAAAAAAAGCCCTTTATTACCTCCTGTTCCACCAAAGTGTGGACAGATCTCATAACTGTTGCGTCCGTAGAAAACAGACTGGATGTTAATGACACTTTCTTCTGGACAGTGAAGGACAGCGGTAGAGTCCTGGCACACCAGCGCCGTCATAAAACCTGCGATGAAAAGTATTAACATAAGTACTTACTGATCAATGAATGAATCACTGCTTTGTGTTACTGGTTGATTGGGTTAAAAAGAACACATATAATCTTATGGTTTTAAAATGCCGCTGAGGTATCATCATTACCGTCGTGAGGTGGAGGGGGCTCAGGTGTGACTCCTGAAAGAGAAAACATGCGTCAACACTCTCGTCTTCATTTTCATTTTGCTGGGCGTCAACAACAACTTCAGCAACTTTTCTCACCTCTCCGCTTGCAGATGTATCCTCTCTTGTACTCACAGTTGTCGTCGTTCCAGTAGCCGTTGTTTATAAGAATAGACAGGCAGTCTTCACCTGCGTAGTCGTCTGGGTTACCTGTGAGGAATGAACCCAAATCCAGTTGGTTTCTTTTTTTTTTCCCCCTGAAGATAAAATGTTAATCTCTCACACAGCATCAAACTAACCTGCATTCCAGCGGATGTATCTGAAAGGAGAACCGTCCGTCCACTCCCAGCCACCTTCAGTGATGGAGTCGTGGCCGCCCATCCACATGGAGATCCCAGTGGGACTCTGCTGGATCAGACCTGAGAGGAAACAACAAAGACACAAACACTGGATCACTCAGCAGCATTTCACTGCCCTCTTTCAAGCCTATTTAACTTTTTTAATTGTGGTCACGTGTGTGTTTTGTAGCACCTGGAGTTCACCTTGTACACCCACTGAATCTGTAAAGATGCTACAGGTTGCTATAACAACAACACTTATGCTGACCCAGTTTTTAACAGATTGCCACAGCAGCTTTAAAGCAAAATTAGGCAAAGTTAAGCATACACCAATCAACCACTGATCTTCTCCTTAAAATATAACGTCCTGCTGGGGAAACCTTGGATCTTGGGTTTCACGTTGATGCTATTTTGACACGAACCATAATGAAAGACTGGTTGATGAATGACACGAGGAACACGACAATGAGCTCGAGGCGTTGAAATAAACTTCCCAAATCCCCACCCAGTCGAGCATCTGTGAATGCGACAGAGCGAGTCTGATCCATGGAGGCTTTACGCTGCAACCTAAAGGACTAAAACGATGAATGTTCTGGTGCTGTTTCAATGCCCCAGTGGATTACAGCTGTGTATTTTGCACAGGAAAAAAAAACTGATTTTGACAAATACTAAAAGGAAGCATAAGAAAAAAAAGTCTAACAAGCTGACACACTTTAAAAAATCTCACATTTCAACCATATAGTATTACCTGATATACTTTTCCTATTATTTTCTTAATATATTTAAGCTATATTCTTACAATCCCATTTTGGCCGTGATTTTTTGTTACATTAAAGATTCAGCTGGGACTGTTTTGCAGCCGGCTGTGGATAAACTCATGAAGAAACTCACACAAACAATCATCCAAAGAATTACAGGGACAAACACAAAAACTTCAAAAGTAATAGTCAGCAGTAGAATCAATTAAAAACATTAGGTCGTACCCTGTATGAAGGCCTGTTCAAAGGGATCTGTGATGCTAACAAGGTCTCCTCCCTGATTGATGCAGTCGGCTCGAGCCTCCCCCCACGTCCTCAGCGACAGGTAGTTAAACTGGTAGCAGAAGTCGTTGAAGGGGTCGGCGTCCCAAGTGCCACATTTCTCGTTCCATCCTGAAACAAAGACAACAGTTCACACATCCGGAGGAATGCAAACACACTTTGAGGTCTGATCAGAGCAGCGTGAGGCCGACCTGGTTCAGATGTCGGAGGCTGAGGAGGAGGTCCTTGTCCTTTGGCTGCGGAAAGACACGACAAAGACAAAGTAAGAACTGAATGCATTTAAAGGTTCCTGATTAAAGCATTAAACGACTGCCAGCATCGCACCCTTTTTGCAGATGTATTCCTTCGAGGCGGAGCATTGTTCATCATTGAGCAAGCCGGGTTCGTGGTGGTTCATTCCTCTGAGATGCACGCAGTCCTCGTCCAGATAGTTGTCTGGCTGGCCGGGCGCCCAGGGCATGAGGTCCTGAGATCAGGAGGAAACAGCAGCACATAGTGAGATGCTTATTTAATAGTTCTAGGACATTCTTCATAGTCAAACTGCAGCATTTTTGCACGATAAAATATCTTTCCCAAGAATTACATTTAGATGCTTTTCACACTTTTATGAAGTGTTACAAAAGATATGAGGAATTTATCTGCTCATGTCAAACAAATATTACTTGTGGCACTTACTGTAGGTGTTCCATCGGAGTACACAAACTGGTTTTCAATATTCATATCATTCAAACCCACCCAGGCCTCCCCTGGCATGTGAGCTGCATTAACAAAAGACAAGAGAGCTCATCAAAATGCCAGACAAGAGCATCACATTCATTTAAATTTCAAACTCCATTCTTACAGTCCCTGCACTGACACTCATCTCATTTGTTGCTGAGTTAATTCTGATGAACTGATGTGCTTTTATGAGCTGCTCACCAGTCAGGAAACTCAGTTCTTGCTGTGAGTGGAAGCTGACCAGGTGACCCTGCTCTGAGGCACAGTGAGTCTCAGCATCCTGCCAGTTCTTCACCACTTCAGTCTCAAAATGATAGCAGTGGTCCCCATACAGCAGCCATCCTTTATCACAGTGGGAATCTGAAGCAGACAACAAACAGTCACTAACAAAGCTGTGAGCAGACAGTCTGTGCAGAGGGAACGGGACGTTTCACTGACTAGGATCTGCTGTTGGCTTCGGGTTCTGTCCGCCCGTCATTTCACAAATGTAGCCCAGGCTCCTGAAGCAGTTGGTTGTTTCCCATTTGCCTTCGTAATTTCCTGGACAAGAACATAAACTCAGAGGATGTTGTTTTTTTTACAATGCCAGTCTGATGACATTTGAGAAGATCGGAGTGGCGGTCCTACCCGTGTAGATCTGTCCACAGTCCCACGTGTTTTCAGTGTTTTTGGGGAAATTGGATGCATAGTTTGAAAAGTTAACGTTGGATTTATCCGTCCACGTGAAGGTTCCGTCCTTGTCCTTGTCTGGTAACACGACAATCCAAAGAGTTAATACGAAGGGCATTTCTCTACAAATCACATTTATTACATGACAGTCTGGAGAAGTACCTGATAAACCAAACCAGATGTCAGGAATGTCCACCTGATGGAAGTCTGGAAGTTTCCCATTTATGAAATACTGCTCATCTTGACTGTAGAGAACAAACAGGACAGATAAGACTCTCTTCCGTGTGAGCAACCCAGTGGGGATTTTGGCTGCAACCAAGAAAACTGAATTCTTTAATCAAAATTGCAACTCTGACTGGACCACTGAGGCCAATGCGGCTACAAGCGGCTTTTAAAGTCCCTCTCTAGTCATTAATTCAACACCAAAAAACACATTTCTGTGAATCCAAATTCCTTTTTTATTTTTTCTTTTCATGAAAATAATCACTTGCTGTCGTAAAATGGCTCAGATGGAACACAGCTGCTTCCTCTACAAAGTGCAGAAAATTTAGTAGAGCTTGGGTCTAATTGTCTTTAAAAAGAATTTAACAAATTGGCTCAATGATTCCACTTGAACCTTCAAAAACCTACATCATGCACATTTACAGCTTCCCAATTGTAAAATTAAGACTCTTACAAAATCTCTGCATAT